TCTGTGCAGCTCCTAGCCGTGCGTGTTGTTTTGGCCAGCATGGCATACGCCAGCATGGCATACGATGGTCCATTTTTTTTTCTTGCAAAATTAACCCTACCCTAAGGCAGTGAGTGGCGCACCCCAGTCTGGACGGGCTGTGGGCACCCCCTTGCACATGTTGCCATTTCTGAGATCAATCCAGGATGTGTGATGACCAGAGCAGGTGGAGGGTAGAGTCCTGCAAGGGCTCCCATCACCTTAGCCCTGCCGGTGTCGAGCCCCGGTTAACTAGCAAGGGCTTTTTTGGGCAAATGTCCTTAGCGTGGTCAGGGTTTCACAACGGAGCCCTGCGAATGCATTAGGAAGGGAGCAGTAAAAGTGAAGGTTTATTGCTGTTAAAAGGTAACCTGAAGATTTGGGTCACTGAGTGTTCCTTGTTTGTTGTGTCGGTGCTCGTAATTAACTTGCTTGGCTTGGTTGGAAAAGTCCTTGCACTAGCACTTGTAAATGTTTGCATTTTGGTGGTAGTTAACAGATACAGAGCAAATTAGTAAAAGGTAAAGGCCTGAAACCCTGCTGGCAACTGGAGGCCGCCAGTCTATTTTGTGGTTCAGTGCAACGCCTTTGGGAATCAAGATCTGTGCCCGTAGTGGAGGCTCCTTCTACAAGGCATGGAGACAGCAGAAGGATCATGGGAACCCTAGGAAAGGACTGTGGCCCAGTGGATTTTTTGTTTTTTTTTTTATTATTTATTTATGGTCCTCTTTTATATAAGAGTGCATTTCTCTCTTTCATACTCTTCTTCATTATACTATTTACAGCCCTCCTATGTCACCCTTTTTTGGGCTCTAAAAATAAATTTTGGGCTTCCGCACATTACACATTATATTAGCTGGTAGAGGTACCAGCTGTCTTCAGAGTCTGTGTACAACCCAAGAGGCCTTGGGTTCCCAGGGAAGTCTTTGGAGTGGAGAAAATCACTCTGGGGGCACCAAGGGCACTTCTAGCAAATGTGTGTCCTTTGGAGCCACTGATGTTGATATTTTGCTGAATTCAGTGGTCCACAGGGCCACGAGAGCCTTGCTGGAGCCTTTGCTGTAATTTCCAAGACCCAAGAGGCATAACACAAAGTGGTTGTTAAAAACAAAGTGGAGATAATGAAGATAATTTGGTGGTTAATTTTCTGAAAGAACAGTGCTGATAAGGTTTTGCCCTGAAACAACATTTTGCCGTTGTGCTGCAAGTACTTTTGCTTTCAACACTCGGGAAATTCTTTTCTGAGCTGTACATTCCTAATTCGTGCAATAGAAGTATTAATCCTACAGCTTCCTTTTGTCCACGTTGCTCTTCCACCTTATAAGTCCGGCGCTTTTTATCTCTGTTGAGCAGGTGCCTGTGCAAGTTTCTGTGCATGAGTGAGTATTGCTGTAGAAGCAGTTGAGTGTATAGGAAAAAACAGGGAAGGCATTCCTCAACTAAATCCTAATGCTGAATCCAGGTGAAATGGTCTACCCAGGCACTTCAAAGGGTCTGAAGAACCAAAGGGGTAAGGCTCTTTCAAGGCCTTCTGAAGGCATCTTGCTGCCAATGGGTTTCCCACTGAAACAGATGCACTTGAACTCTCCCTAGGAAAATATTTATTCTAGGAAGTGTAACTTGAAGGCAAACCTATGCAATCCAACTTTTCGGCTGCACTAAATATAGCAGTTTATGGTCCAAACAGGTTTGGCAAGTGAAAAGTTGTTTGAAGCACTGTGGCTCATAGCGAGAAGAGGAGACCAAAGCAAATACCAGCAGTTGTGAAGAACACACTTTTGCTGCAAATACAAGCACCTTGGAGTGTGCAGCCCGCAGGGTGTTGCTTGGTGAGCTGCATCTCACCATGTTGAGCCGCTCCGAGTGTCCGTGCAAGCAGCCGGGTGCTCCCTTCGCCAACCCAGGAGGCAGCTACACCTGGGGAGCTGGGCAGACCTTCCTCACCTGGGCATCACGTTCAACCCTTGAGCTTGGGTTTGAAAGCTGCCTTGAAGCAGAAAGTCTCAAAAGAGATTTTGGTGGTTTCAAAGCATAATTCAGAAATTTCTGTTGAAAAGTCCGCACTCCCTGCAGTTCCGCACTCATGGCTGTGGAAATCATAAAGGAACGAAAGGTTTACAGCATTTATTTTCCTTTTTATTAGCACACAGAAGTGCTGAACAGGGCGGAATCCCCTCGCGCGTGGCCGCGGGTGCTTGTGGAGGTGCAGGGCGACCAGCTGCGCAAACAGGGCTGGCCCCGGTACGGCCATGGGGCCGCTCTTGCCGCGGGGCCGCTGCCACACGGCGCCTGCCACGGCACTGCCCTCACGGAGCCCTGTGCCCCACTGCTGCTGGCCACGGCTCGGGGCGCCCCGGAGGGTGTTTTGCTGGCGTGGGGCTTAACCTTTGCTCGGATCCGCAGCCCAGGAGGTGACTTGCAGCTCCTCCCGGGCCACCTCGGCTCAATCATTAAGCAGCGGGCGGAGGGAAGCCGCAAGCCCCCAGCTTCGCGCGCTCTCCCTCAGCGGCCCCTCGGCGAAGCGGCTCGGCCCGGCTCAGGGCTGCTGCCCTGCGTTGCCAAGGGGCCCGAGGCCGGGCACAGCCCTCACCTCACTCCGGTAGCTCTTGAAGATGGCACATTTTACCTCACGTTTTACCTCACCGAGCTCACGCGTGGCTGCCTGGCCTTGGGGACTTGTGGGGAAATCCGTGCTTGCCTGTGTGTCCTGACGGTTTTGCCATCCCACGTGTCTCCAAGAGGTCCACGCGGAGCAGAGGGCGCAGCGGCTCTAACCCCTGCTTGTTTCTCTGCCTTCTTGCAGGTGGATAAAGTTTGAAGAGAAGGTGGAACAAGGTGGGGAGAGATGGAGTAAACCTCATGTGGCCACGTTGTCCCTGCACAGCTTGTTTGAGCTAAGGACGTGCATAGAGAAAGGCTCCATAATGCTGGATATGGAGGCCTCTTCTCTACCTCAGGTGGTGGGTAAGTAAGCATCCTTGGCTCTTCCCCTGGGCTCTTCCCTCTAACGTGCTCTTTTTATTAAACATCAGGATTTCCTTTGGAAGCGAGAGAGTGGACACTTCCTTATGTCCCCCCACCTCACCCCCAAATCCCCACAGACTTCCTGAAATAAAGTGTGGAATGACCATGTTGGAAGACCCCAAGCTTTCCTCTGTTGACCGGTGCTATAGCAGAAGCATGGGAGGGGAGAGCAACTGGCTGTATGGAGGAGAACGAGCTAGATGACAAAAGATGTGTTATTCTGAAAGAAGCATTCCCCAAAATACGAATAAAATATACAAACAGCAAAAGCTGGTGGAAAAATGTCACTTTACAAAGAATAAAGCTTTTGACAAACTTTTTGTGTAACTGCATGCATATAGCCAGTCTTTTCTGAGCTAGGGTGGAAATATAAGGCTTTTTTCACCACAGATTTGACAAGGCATTAATTTTTAGGGAGCTTGCAGAAGATGTCTTTCTGACTCACTGAGTTAGCAAATGTGATGCATGTTCTGCCTCTGCTTTCCCAAAACTTTTATTGTTAGCACAAATAAGAGTTACTGGTAGACGAATGAGAGCTGCCACTTCCCCTTGGGGGACAGCATGTTAACTGAAGGACTACACAATTTAATGTGGAATTTAATGTACAATAGAGGCTTCTTAATAAATCTGGCTAATCTTTATTTTTTTACCCCTGGAATAAGGGAACAGAAAGGACGGAATTGATGGAAAATGAGCAGCCTTTGCAATGAGTTGGAATTTTCTTTTCACAGTGCTTCAGTGAAAGGCAAAGCTGTGAAATATGGTTTATCCTGTGAAAATGGGAGCAAATTCTGCTTTTTGCAGTAGCTGTCCTTTTTTTTTTTTTTTTTTTTTTTAAGTTCTACGAGTGACTGATCTAATTAGTTACTCATCTGCAGGACTTGATTCCTATAGTCACATTAAGTTTTACTGGAGACCTGTGAAGTGACTGCAGACCTTGTTGAATTGGAAAGAATTCAACTTCCAAATTCAACCACTAGTGCTTTACCACTGTATTTTTGGGAGCACCGTGAAAGTCGCAAGGTAGCCGTAGCTTCTTCACAAAAAAACCCACAGGTTCAGAGCAGATTCCCTTTTCTGGACTAGAAGTTGCCTTATCTTGGCACTGGTTGCTTTGAAATCCGCTTAACGTACGTGTGAAAATGCCAGTGTGTGTGTGTCCCGCGGCTGCTGGGCTGAGGGGCTCTGCTGGATGGAAGTGCTTACAGTTAGTTTGAAATGAAGTAATTTTCCTCCTTTAAATGAGACTCCCACTAAAAATAAGTTGGCAAAACCTGGTGGTGATCTCGAGATGGGAAGGAAAGACTTCAGAACGGTAAGGCGGCTGGAAGGCTCCCGATCCCTCTCCCTGTGCTCTCCCTTGCAGTGCCTGGATTTTGTTCCTTTTGACTAATGCGTCTCTCCTCTCCCCTGCCCGCTTCCCCGCGTGTGACAGAAATGATTGTGGACAACCAGATCGAGACGGGCCTTCTGAAGCAGGACATGAAGGACAAGGTCACCTACACGCTGCTCAGGAAGCACCGGCACCAGACCAAGAAGTCCAACCTGCGCTCCCTGGCCGACATCGGGAAGACCGTCTCCAGTGCAAGTAGGATGTTTACCAACCCCGATAACGGTAATGCAGAGGCTAAGTGGCTATAGCCTTCCTTGTTAAAGCAACCCACCAAACTCACCTGCCAAAAACTAACTCCATTGCCACGGCAATGCTTCTTCTAACCCACAAGTAGCATAGCAAGACCCGTGCTGATAGCCCATCAGCACTGGGCTCTGGAGGCTGCTCTGGCCGTGGCACGTTGCTCTAACCCTATCTTCACTGGACGGAGGGGCAGGAGAGGCAGTGTCAGGTAGGGGGTGCAGCAGTCGTGGGCGATGCTGAGCAAAGGCACCCTCGTGGCTGGCGTGGAGGAGACCAAGGAGGAACTCCACTGGAAAAGACAGACTGAGAGAGAAACGTGAACCATACCTGAAAACTAAAAGGCTGATTGAAACGGTTACACCGAGGCAAAGCTTTCGTGTGCGTTTGATTTTGGTAACATGTGGTGTCCGTGACACTCTTAATCAAAGATGTTGATGGGGATTATATGATCTAGCTTGCATTTTATTGCCATACAATCATGGTCCAGTGTGGGTAAAGCTGATTTCCCTCTTGCTTCATTCATCCTAAAACTGTTCTGGGGTGTATGTGTCGTGCACGTCGCTATTTCCCTTTAGAAGTGCCACATGTGGAGTGTTGTCTGTATAGACGTGTGTGTGTGTGTGTGCACACACACAGAGAGCCGCAGAGGCCTTGGCAGTGACTCCACACCTAGTCCTGCATTGACATTTGCCATCCTTTTGAGGTAATCGAAGAAGAGCATGTTTAAGCCTGTTGTGGCTGCAGCTCTGTGACCTGCCTCATGTGGCAGTATGAAAACTTGTTCAAAAGTCACCATTTTGAAATACTTAGGAGCAAAAGCATGCTGTTATTAATGTTACTGCATTTGAGGCCTCTTAGCTTTCTGTGTTCAGCTTCTAAAACTCACCCTAACATCTCTCCCTATCATATTGCTGCTCTTTATTTAACCTTCCTACTTTTTATTGTCTTTTGCTGTTGCAACAGGTGTGTGTGTGTATGTGTGAAGAATATTTATGGCTCTTGGTGATGCATCTTCCCATGTACCAGTGGCTTGATAACGCTGTGTTTAAACAGCTAACACAAGGGCATGGTAAAATGAATCAAGGGAATGCTCTAAAGGTGAACTCGAGGCTACAAAGCAAGGCCCTCGGCTTACAACAGCACTCTAAGGAAAGAAAAGAAAGTTACAGTTGGGCTAAATCCACATTCTGGGAAAGAAACTGCTGATGAAGCTATTGGTCCATGCTAGAGATGGGGAGGCTGTTGCAGAGCCCCTGCAGCAACTGAAGGGTGCTCTCGGGCATTACTTGCAGTGCTGTGTGCACCTACCAATTTATATATTCATTTATAATTGGATTATTTGTTTGTATGTTGTCTGCTGCCTCCATGACCGCTGCTTTCCCAGAGCCTTTGGAAGGAGGGCAGAGCAGGTTTGCCCTGTGCAGTGGGAGGCAGCATTTAGGACAACCTACAGGATACTGTAGCATGTGTCACGGGGTGAGGGGCCAGTCCCCTGGGTGCCACGTAGGTCACCTCTTGGCTCCAGCACACAGGCCCTTCCCTAAAGGTAGGCACGGTGACACTGAGTGCCACACAGTGACACCGCGCGTGGGTTTCAGGGCAGCCCGTGGTGCAGTTGTGATACTGCCCGGCCAGACTGCTGCGGCTGGAACTAGAGCATGTGGAGCCGTTTAAACGGTCACCTCGGGCTGCTGAGAGTGTCTCTGCGTTGGGGGAGGATACGATGGAGCAACCGATCAGATTTAGTGTCTTCCTCTGCCATCGATTTCCTCGGGGATAGAAATGCAAAGCAACCTGTAGGATTGACTGCATGACATGGTCGCAGCCGGTGCCTCCTTCAGCCCCAACAGGAGTCTAATGGAGGGGAAGGGGCCTAAAATGTGCTGTATTCACCACGTGCATCCACCTCCTACCCCTGCGCTGCCCCTATTTCTGACTGCACCAAGTGCTTGTAACGGCCTCTTCTTCTTTTGGCAGCTCGTGGAGTTCTTCCTTTCTGCTCTAAGCCATGCACTGAGGAGCCACCAAAACCTCAGGGTGCTAAAGGCAAATTCAAAGTTACTTAGTACATTCATGAAGGCAAACCATGCACAGCACATCACTCTGCTTTCGGTGAAAAACCCTGGCGCTTTGCTGTGCCAAGTTTTCACCAACGTTCAAGAAATCATCCTTGGCTCTGCTTAGCCTGCTGGCTGACATTGAAGCAGTCCTTTCATATTGCTTTGCCCCTATTTACCCACCTAGGATATTTCAGTGTTACACCAATATATAATACATTATGTTTCACGACAGTTTGGTGACTGGAAGAGGAAGAGACGTATACAAAGGGAAATATTTTATGAATAGTTGTTACTGGTATTTATTATTTACACTTTAATGAAAAAGTGACTCTAGAATGTATTTCAGTGCAATACACTGTGCTCCTTGGAGTTCAGTGAGTGCCTCTTGTGTGCTTCTGAAGGCAGAATTTGTCCTTTAGAGAGATAAAAAATGAATGAAGCCAACAGGAGCACAGCTGCCTCTCGCTAATAATAATAACAAAAGTGCCACCAGCCCCAGGTGCACATACATTTCCCTAGAGTTTCTTTCCAGGTAGATACTTGCTTTGAAGGGCGACCCTTCGTTTCGGCGTGAGCCCAACGCTGTTGTGGTGTTGGTGCTGGACACAGGGCAGTGACACGGGTGCCGCTTGCCCCGTGTCCAGGCAGCGGCTTTACGGGCTGATATATTTAGAAAGCAGCCTGGCCTTGTGCTCAGCTGGTGTTTGCTGCCCTTGGTGAACTGGGGAACTTCTCATCTTTAGCTCACCCCTAAAACACGTGGATGCAGGTAACAGTGCTGAGTAACAGGGCTCGTTTAGCTTATGCAGTGTTCATTAAAGCCCCTTAATGAGGCAGCACGTACTGGCACTAGACTAGGCAATACCTATGTCTAAAGACATTATTTATTTTACTGGCTCTTACTGGGCAGTCACAGTGTCTTTGAAACCTGCAACTTTGGTGCGTGTCTTATTCTATTAAGCTCTTTTCAAAAACATTTATTTGGGAAATGCATCTGCACAGTGTCATTACACTGGATTCTGTATGCTGGCAATTTTGGTTCTTTTTTTCTTTTTTTTTTCTTTTCTTTTTTTTTCCCCTGAGGGATAGTCACAGTTAAGTTTATACACAAATTAAATAATGGTACATTACTCCTAGGATATTTTTTAGATCTTAAATCTGGAAACAGCCATGGGCCATGGTCCTCAGAAATACTTAGGTGCCCGTATCTCACTTTGTTTCAGAGCGAGCACATGACTGCAGGTTAGACCTTCTAAAAAATCCCGTTATTTCTCACCTTTATGTAAACTTGCTGTAAACTGGTGCTCTGTCATTACATTTATTTGTAATTAGAACTTTTCCAGAAGTTCTGAATGTGTCCTAAAATCATCCTCATGAATAAGGCAGGGGAAACAAAGGGTAAATTAGCAGAAGTTGCCAGGACTTTAGCTTGGAAAAATGAGTGTTCCTTTGTCACGTGCGGTTGTGAAGTCAGTTGAGCTTCTCTGCAAAGCACTTAAGTATGTGGCTATTGCCATATTCGTAATTTATCTTCTCGGCTTCTGGTCTCGGTGTTTGGAATTGGCACTATATATGAAAGTGCCCTATTTATGAAATGCACGTAGAAACACTGAGCTTGAGAATGGTGAAGCTTTTTATTCTTATCTGTGGCATCAAGGCTGATATTTAGTCTTGCCCAGTGATCACGTTTGTAAGAAGGTATTTCTTCAGAAATCTTTTTGCCGCTGGTGAAGAAATGGTGCCAAAGATGACAATTCTTGTGCACCATTTGGTGGAGGATGATAAATCAGTGCATTTCTTTACTGTCCCCTGAGCAGGATACAGGGAAAACACTTCGCTTAACTTGGCCCATGAGAGCCATTGGCACAAGCATTGCAGAGCAGCCATCGATTTATAACAAGAACTCCCTGGCAAAGGCTGTAGAGAGCGGGATGTGTTTGTGTGCAAGGGTTTGCCCTTGGTAGGTAAGCGTGGAAACACCAGAGTTTGAGCAGCAGTTGTGCTGTAACCACCGAAAACTTCGCCCCTCTAAAGGTCCTGTTCTGCCCGAGAAGGCCTCTTTATTCTGCAAAGTATTTTTCACACAAGCTGCACCCCAGGTCCTTCTAGAGAGCGGGAATGATGCATTGACAGTTCAACAGTGGTAGCAGAGGAGGAGAGCGATTAAGCCAGAGTGAGAGGCTCTCAAGGAACATTTGAAAAAGGAATCCCCAAACCCATGCATTTACAGAACAGGGTGTGCGTTTTCAAGCCCTAAGGGGTGTATGTCTCGGTGTTGGTACAGTCAGCGCGTTGGCCATGGGCTCGTGCAGGGAAGGGACCTGGTTTTCCCGGAGCAGCGCGTCTGTGGTGCTCCTGCTCCCGGCCTCCCCACTTGCGAGCCTGGGCAATCGCTTGAGCGTCTCTCTCTCTCGTTATCTTCTTTTTTCTTTTCTTTCCTTTTTCTTTTTTTTTTCCTCCCCTTTTCACTCTCCCGCTCTGCTCTGCTCCGCCTGCTGCTGCTTGCACGGCCCAAGCGCGCGGCCCGCTCGAGAGCTCCGTGCCCTGCCTGGCGACGCGCACGCTGGACGACGAGCTCCGAGTGCAGCGCAGCCCCAGCGTGGGATGGCTCAGTAAGTGCCCCCGGCCCCGCGGGGCAGCGGGAACGCTCCGCAGTCCCCGGATTCACGCTCCCGGCTCCCTTCGTGGGGGGAGGATTGGGGCGCCGCTGCGCTGCTCGTGTCCCCATTCCCGCCGTGCTCCCCGCGCCGTGTCCTCCTTCACTCTCGTCTTCCCAGACACTTTTCCTAGCGGTGAAACAGGGAGCTCAGCTGCAATTCCCGTTGAGGCGGCAGTCTCTCCCCAAACCCAGGATTTACCACACGGATCCTTTGGTTCTCCAAAGGGTTTCATTAATTTTGCCACCAGTGGAGTATTGCGAATAAAACAAGCTTAAATGTTTTAATTTTCATATCGATTAAGTGCAGAAATTAAAAAAAAAAAGACCAGCCCCCCTTTTGACACACCTGTCTGTCCTCATACGTGGAGCAGAAGTGGGAAGCGTCAGGCAGAGCATTGGGAATCGTTGCTTCTGGCTTGATGAGGTTATGCGGAGCAGGCCAGGACGTGGTGAGAAAAGGTAATTGGCGTTTGTGAGGCAGAAGAGGCTGTCACTGAGAGGTGATAAAGTCATTAGCTGCTTCCTCTAGGAGGAAAGGTAATCATGACCTAAGGAACATTTGGTCTTGGATAGAGCTAAACAGAGCAAACAAATTTGTAACCTGGAGAAGCATCAGGAGAACCAGACCTAGAAAGCAGGCTGCAGAAACTGACTGATCTTCAGCAGGTGCCTTTTCCCCACAGCTCCAGAGTGGAGCCCTTCTGAATAAAATACAATAAATCAGCAGTATATATAATACATCCATTAAGGCTTTCTTTGCTTTGCCCAAAGGTTTTGGAAGCCACGCTTAGTTTCTTCTCAGTGGGACACCTTATTGGCATGAACAGGCTTCACGTTAAAAAAAAAAAAAAAAAAGTGCTTCTCTATCTCTTGGTTTGGTTTTATTGGCGCAGATTTGCAAAACGCCCATGTGTTACTTCAACCTTTCATTATTTCATGGGTACATTATATACTCGTCAAAGATTTCCCGGAATTGGCAGTTTCTTTGCAACCTTTAAAAGATAATTAATTGCACAATACAGTGAAAAAGCATCCCTGGGTTCTAATAACAGACTGAGACTCCAAGAATCAGGCTTTATTTTGATTTTTTTTCCAGCTATGCCCTTTTCCACATATTTCTCAAATATTAGTTTATAACACGGAAGGCATTAGGAACATCTTTTTAGAAAAGCAAAGTAATATGTACATTGTGTAACGTACATTAGCACATTTGATCTCTTTTTTCCCTGTTTTATTTAAGCATTGAGCAGCTCCTACTGCTTTCATACCAAACACTTCAGTCAAAATTTACTCACGTTGTTAGTAATGAAAATTGTAGGTCTGCCTCCACATACCTTGAACATATTGCAAAGCAAATCCGTGGATGGTGGATGCTCCGAGGAGCTCAGCAACAGACTTGTGTCTCGTACAGAGAGACCAATTTTGTTTTCACCGTGGGTTGATCAGCACTGAGGATTTGGCTTTTCATTATGTGAACATCTAACCACGAGTTTCTTCGCTGCTGTGTTGGAAACATCCTAACCTAGAAATACCTGAGAAGTTGGGAAATGCCACTGTGCCAGCTTTCTTGAGTGTCTTCTCTCTTTCCAGTTGTATTCGTGGTTGGAAACACTTTGCTAACAGCTCCTGCTGGTCTGCTTCTGGTTTCAACAAGAGTGGGCGAGAAGGGATGAAAAAAATCAGAACAAAAGCAAATTCATGCTCATTGCTGGGGTTTCGGATGCTGCATCCATCCCAGCAGTCACCCTCTTTGCTATTCTTTTGGGTTTTGTTCTTTTATGATTAGGGCTATTCCTGCATTTCTTCAGAGGGCTTTTGCTGGGATTGTGGAAGGGAATTCCGAAATCATGTTTTCTGCCAAGTTCCTTAGGAGAGTTTTCCTGTAATTCTACTTCAGTCCTGCATCAGTCTACGTGAGCAGGATGAGTGAACCATAACAGAGCATGCAGCTCCTGCCTGGCTGTTTTCCTGGGCTTGGATGTCACTGTGTCGGGCTTACGCATGACCACTTGATCTTTGGAGGTTCCCTGTCTCCTGTTTGCCTCTGTTTTTCTGTCTCTCCGAATATCTCGCCTCAGGAATGGTTGACGTTAGCCCTACCAATTCGGTGGACGTGTCGTTTTGCTCAGTAAGCCCACAGGGCTCGTGGATTTAGTTAACCAGGTGACCTGCTGGGTTTTTTTTTCCCCCAGCCTGGAATTGCTGTCCTAGAGCTCGCAGGAGCACTGTGGATCAGCAAGGGCGAACCATTAGCAACGTTACCCCAGGTGCCACGTGAAGCTAGAGGAAGCAGCCTGTCAGGGTCTCAGATCCCCCCTACAAACCTCCCTTGTGCAAGACAAGGCGTTGCTGTAGCCTGAGCCTCTGTGTTCTTGGGGCGGGAGGGAAGGGGCTCCTTTACTGAGCGCTGCCCTTGTTCCCACAGGCAGCCCAGCCATGGCTCACCGGAACCTGACCTCCTCCAGCCTCTAAGACATCTCCGACAAGCCCGAGAAGGACCAGGTAAGCGGCCCCTCTGCCCGGCGCTGCGGGGTGGGCACGGCCAGGAGCCGGGTGCTGGCATGAAGCAGGTGGGCATGAACGTGGGCGAGCTCCGGTTTTCAGAGTCCTGCTAGCGGATCCTTCACTTTCCAAGCACGGGCCTCGAAAGAAGCGGGGTAGGCTCTCCCAAAGCCCGAAGCAAGTGCTGCCGTGCAGAGCCAGGCATGGAAATATGCAGCACGCAGCTTTCCGTCTGCTTCCCGGTCCCCTTCCCACTGGAAGGAGGCTCTGTATTGTGGTGGGCTCCCACGTCGCTGTGCACGGGCTGCAGCCTGCAGCGCTCCACGGCACGGAGGGAGCAGGAGCAGCCAAGGGAATGGGTCCCCTCTCCATCAGCTGTCCTAATAGGAGACGTGACCTCCCCCTGTGCAACTGCGCGTCGCTTCGGAAATGCGACTTTAATAAAAGGTGACAGCAGAAGAACAGCTTCAAAGCGAAGATGAGTTATAAAGTTAAGTTGAAATTGGCCTGTGGTGCCCAAAGAAATGAGCTCTTTCCTACCAGTCACCATGGATTTGACTAATTTCTCAGAGTGGGGCGATGTTGCGGTGGATCGTTCGGGCTTTCTTCATGCGTGTGCTCATCATTTCTGAGAGTGCAAGAGTCTGAGGGGCAGGAGGGAGTTTAGTTCTGGTCTGGTGTCTGAATAAGGTCTCTGTGCAAGCACCAAGAAAAATCTTTATCTTGGTTTTAAGAAGGAGGTTGTTTTCTAAACATGGCTGTTTCCTTCAGAGCATCTTTTCACCCTTCCTTCAGCATTCTTCAGTCCCGCTGTTATTTTCAATGCAAATTAGAGTTTAGAAAATTATTTGGGTATCCCCATATATGCCAGCCAGTTGAGAATGGCTCTACTCCTTCAAATGCTGGCTGGCTGCAATCATTTTTAAGTGTAACTCTGCTGTATAGCAGCACAGCAATGTAAATGATGTAAAGAAAAAAAAAAAGAGTAATTATATGTGGTAAAACTATTCTCCTCGTCTGCGCCCTCTATCCTTTCTCTCCCTCCTGGCGTGTGATTTATTTAAATACATTATTTTCCCATTTGGGATGTGAAAAATCCATGCAAAAGGAAGGAGCAGATGATAAGAAAAAAGATCGTAATGTTGAATGCACAAAATAAATATGACAGAGAATGAAAAAACAAATCATCTCTAGTATCTAATTATCCAGGAAAATAATTTAATGGAGAGAGAAAGGAGGTGGACCGTGTTTCTCATTGACCGCAGGGTCGTTCAAAGTTATCATCTGCAAAGTATTTACCCCCCAAATATGTTTGCATTATTGTATGCAGACATCCATGGGGAAGGAGCAGGGCCATAGGAAAGCTGTTTAGTTGGAAAGGCTGTTAATCACACTGTGATTGGGGTGTAGTAGCAAACTGGGTGTAAATATTGCAGCAGGCCCTTCAGGACGCTGCAGTAGAAATGTTCTCAGCCATCTCTCCTGCTGGCATTCCAGGGGACGGGCTAAACACGTTGAGGTAACAGACTTTTTGTGTTGAGTCAAGGCCAAAAGGGGATTTTTCAGTGGTGCTCTTAGTGAGCTGTGCTGATGAATCCAGTTTGGAAGCAGGCTCCAGTTTCTAGCATTCAACAGGGATAATGCTTGACTATTTATAGGGAAAACCGTTACTTTTAAACTAACTTGTTCCAAAAAGCTGTTTAGTTACTTAGGCTGTGTCTGGCTGATGGACTTTGGCCAGTGGGACCTTGCACTGCAAGGGTTTCAGAGCTGGCCAGAGAAATCACCTTGGATCTCAGTTTTAGTTACTGATTGACCGCAAGTTGTGTCTTGATAAAATGTGCAGGACTGTGAGGATGGCTGGCAACTTTGCCGGGCAGAGCTCAGCTTGGGCCCGGGAGACGAGGGAGTAATTGACGGTGTTGTGGCAGCCAGAGCTGGAAGAACAGATTTTCCTGCCTTGCCAGCAGAGTGGCTGGCGTTTGTTATTTCAGTATCCCATCTGGAAGTCTGATAGTTAATGAGGCCATATAGTGAGATATGAGCCTGCTGAAGAAAGGGGATATATTATTTTTAAAATTTATTTGTGTGTATCAGAGGCCTGCATGTGTTCATGCTACAGCAGGCTGAAGTCAGCTGGTAGCAGCTGTTTGGAGCAGGGGTGGCACCTCACCTCTCTCATTCACTCTTTTTTTTTTTGCAAATAGAGTTTTGTCTATGTGTGTTTTAAGTAAAGAAGGGCTTTGAGCCTTTCCCCCGATCTTGCCATAATTTTTATTTCTCTTCTTAATTCTCTCTCCCTCCTCTGGCACAAAGTGTCATGTGAACACATGATGAGCAGTTAGCTAAACAAGTTATCAAAGGCTGGATTCCTCACGGAGAATGATGGAGCAAGAACATCTGCATCTACTTTTTGGAGCTTTCCTTATATTTGAGGCTGGATAAAATAATATGGCCATCAGAATGAGATAGGTTGAAATCTTAAAATGGCATGAACACATGAAAGCCTGTCTGTAAGGTGGGGAATGTCTGCCAAATTTGGAGTGTTAGGTTACTCTTGTTTTTTCCCCTTAATTATTGGAAAGCAAAAGATGGAAAAACTGGAAGGGTCAAGTACGAACATGCAGGGTTTGAAGAACATCTTCAGCTGGGGGTTGTAGCTCTCGCTGCCCTCTGGAAAGGCACGGGGCCATCTGCTCGCCTGCCTGCGGCCCACACAGCCCTGCGTGCTCTTGAGCGCTTTATTTCCGAGTGCTGAAGTGTGTTGACTCGCACGAGGGGCTCCTGCCTCCCCGAGAGGGACGCCCCTATTCCTTGTCTGGATTCCTTGGAAGCCCCCAGGCGCTGGCTCAAAGCGCTGAGGAGAAACCGCTTCACCAGAGGGCACACAATTCAGCATTGGCTCTTCTATGTTGGGGCTCCTTGGATTTTTGCGGGGGATTTTGGCAATGTGTAAAGGGTATTGAAGGAACAGCAGATGCGTGCACATACCTTGTGGTTTACCCCGATGTGGTCCATAGCGGCGTTTGCCTGGAAGCAGCGCAGGCTTTCAGCTGGACGTGCAGCCAGGCGGTGCGCCCGGAGAAGGAAGGTTGAAAGGAATATCAAGGAATATTGTAGTTTTTGTGACTGCTCCTAGAGCAGTGAACAGGGAGGATAAGCCGTTCCAAAGGCCTGGGGTGGCCGCGGGGCGCTGGGAATGGTGAGTCCTGTGGCTCCGGGTGCCGCGTGCCATCCCCGGCCGGGAGCGATCCGTGGGTCACGCTTTGTTCGGCGTCCTTGGCAGCGCCGAGGGCCTGGCTCAGCAGGGCATTCAGAATGCCCGAGAGGAGGAATAAAGGAGACGTTTAAGGCAGATCTTGGG